TAAGAAGGCCCCAAGTAAATGCTTTCTTTTTATAAGAGTTGCCTTGTTCCAGGTGTCTCCTCCCAGCAATAGAACAGTGACTTAGAGAGCTTGGGAAGCAGCCCCAGAAGCAAAGTGTTTCCTAGACGTCCTGAACCCATCTCTCGTTTCTTATTCTCCCGCCAGGTAGGCAGCAGAGACCAGACTCCCTCTCTCCAGAGCGGACCTGAATAATCAAAGCCAGCTATAAGCATTACTGTGGGATCCCAACCGCCTCTGCTCTCTGTGGAAGAGCTGGCCATGAAAACCTTCTTTCTGGAGTAGCTCATGAGGCTTCTACTCTAGAAAAGGCCATACCTCAAATCCAGAAGACTGCTGAGAGAGACAGAGTGTCTACAAAGAGCCGTGCTGCCCCTGCCACGATGCCATTGCCCTTAGATTGCACACCCGTCTCACCGTGCTCCCAATGGTGGCATTCTTTCTTCACTAGATCTAAGCATAAAACCAGGCAATTTCCCCAGCACTTCCGGTTCTTCATTCCGGAAGCTCCTTGGTGCCACGAAACTGTGACCAAATACACAAGTTGTGTTATTCTTCTGTCAGCTTGCCTTTGCTGCTGGGGTGTTGGCCATGGCCCCCACAGTTAGGAGAGGGCCATACCTTCTAACCCCAACAAAGGGAAGGTTCAGCACCCAAAGGCAGGCCTTACAAACAGAAACTACAGAAACACTAAATAAGCATGTACATGGATAGAGTAACAGATGTCACACCGTCGTTACAAAAGCAGGCAATGTGACCCAGGAGAGGTGGAGTCTAATATAAAACACTCATTGATCAGGCTCAGAGTGCAGGAGACAAGCTACATAATCACCTCAATCAAAGGAGTCAGTAGAGTGATGTCACTTCTACTGTACTACTCCCTATCTACTCCCAAATGGAAAGATTCCAAAATTCTACCATTCCACCGAAATGTCTCACAGGGTACTGACTCTCCACTAACATTTCTTCAAAATGATTCACTGAAAATACATGTCAGAACTAAAGCAAGAGACACATCATTTCTGCTAACATTTCATTTCATCCCTGTTGACCACCCAACCTACTAGTCTTACATCAGTAGTTTTCTGTGAACTATGCTAATGCTCATTTTTGCTCATTTTGACCACTTTTTAAGAAATCGGCAACAACAACAACAAAAACCCTGCCCATCTCCTAAGTAATTGCTTAGCTCAGAAGCACGTAAACCATGCACATCTGATTTAACTGACAACCTATGATCAGTTAAATAGCTCTAAAATTGTACATTGGTACTGGCCCATCAATTTCTCTTCCAAGAAAGATTAGTAACAAATGTGTAGATGCACACAAGGACTGAATAATGGATCTTTGTGAAAAAGCGGTTTATAAATTGTGAAAATATAGATACTTTTAATTTTCTCTAAGAGGGTGATTCATTGTTTGGACATAATGGGAATAAAATACCAGATAATTAGTAAAACTATGTTGCAGGACTATTTTATTGTGTGCAAATATCCACACTAACAGGTAAGAAGTGAAAGAGGAGGCAATGGAGACCTTTATCAGTTCACAAATGCTGTTAAAAGTACATGTTTAGCTGAAAATAACTTTGTAAGTCTTTTCAAATACCAACAGCAATTTACCTACTGTTCATTAGACTGCTTGTGACTGTCACTTTCATATTGAAACATGTTCTTCTTTAAGAAGCAGAGTGGCAGATGGCCTACCCACATCTGTATCCATGCTCTTCGGTGGCATGTCTCCGTCTGACAGGTGTGAGCTCTGTGATTTGTTGAACAAGAGGATCAGTAACAGGGATGCGAGCGGAGGCCACTTCCTTGTCTGATGCTGTCACTGGGATCTTCCTCTGGACTTTTCTCAGCTCCCTGATCTTTGTGCTCGTCGTGACCCAGACGGGACTTGTGTCCCATAGAGGATACGTAGAGGACAGATCAAAGTGACGTGAACACATTCTTCTGGGTGAGATGGATGTGGCGATCTGAAAGGAAGTGGCCCCCAAAGGGAGTGGCGCTGTTGGGAGGTGTGGCCTTGTTGGAGGAAGTGTGTCACTGAGGGGGCGGGCTTTGAGGTCTCTTTTGCTCAAGCTTCCCTCAGTGTGACTGCCAGTGGACTTCCAGTTCCCTGCTAGCCATTATGTAGCCAGCACCGCATCTGCCCGCATGCTACCTTGATCCCTGCCATGATGACAACAAACTGAACCTATGAAATTGTAAGTAAGCTGACTCAATTAAATGGTTTCCTTATAAGAGTTGCCATGGTCATGGTGTCTCTTCACAGCAATAGAAACCCTAGCTAAGACAGGGACAATGACCAAAGGGACAACTGTGCTGCTCTACATCTGAGGCAGGGTTTATTCTACTTCTTAGGTTTCTAGAACAAGCAGCTCTTGGGGAGCATCGCTTTTTCCTGGTGACTGACAGGCCCATTTGGATTGATTCTAACGGAAGGAGAAATTGTCATATGTCCTTGTCCTTGAATCAGAAACCCCACGTCTAGATGGTAAAAATTTGGGGCTCCAGAGCCATGTTTAGAACTCTTAATGACCTCTGGGCAGCTGAGGATGTCACATGTCCTCCCAGGCCCAAGGTGGCAATTAGAACTCCGCTGCTCCAGTCCTTAGCTTTACACCCTGCCAATTATGAGGGGAAAGGGTCTAGCCCCCTGTCCTCCACGCCTGTTGATATCTTACCAGCTCCCTAGCAGTGATGCTCTTTCTTGTTCTGGATGCTCTGCTGGGCTAGCCTGGGGCAAAAGTAAAAGTGAAATACAAAACAGTGTCAAGTTTCCCTGACTTCCTCACCTAGGAATGCTCTAGGTCACCGAGCAGCTGCCTGTTCCCCAGACATGTAAGGGAGCCTAGAAATGTCAGTGGAGCCGTGCCAAGCAGATTTGAAGCTGACCAGAGACACACGTGAGACTCACTGAAATAAATATTCTCCATAGGTTCACACCCAAGGTGACTGAGGATGGGCAGAAAATGTCAAATCAATATAAAAGTGAGAACTGTCAACATGCAGATCAGGGAACTTGCTATAGCCTGCGAAGGTCATAAAGTGGAAACACACCTAGCCTCATCTCTGGGAACCTACACGAAGAATGGGAGTTTCCTGCCATGGCCCCTGCTCTCAGACACTCAGCAGCGGCTGTCTGGATGCACTACAGACCAGACCTTTCGGTTGCTTGAGTTGGTTAAAAATGCATTAGCTCCTCACCAACGGGATTCTGAGAGCAGATAGAATAAAGGAGGCTGTTCCAGCCACCCCATAGACTTGAAGTATTGAGGGCTACAAGTTGACTTGAACAGATGGAAATGACATTAAGCTTTCATGGGGGACAAATGGAAGTGTCTTCCTGTGACATCCCTGACATGCAGAGACCTTTGCCATTTAAAGCTCTGTTACCGTGGTGCATTGTTCCCAGGCAGCTGAGTGTTTAATAAGACTTTCTGCAGACACCTAACCCGCCAGTGCTGGCTGCCTCCTGGCAACCCTAAGGCTCCTGATGTAGAGGCTGACAAGCTGAGCTAACATCAGGGCCATGGATTCCCTCAGACACCGGGGCACAGGCTGGCACAGGGAAGTTCCGGCTGCTGCCCCCTCATGCCTACCAGTCCCTACTCTCGGCTCGGGTGTTTGATTCCAGACATACTGGATCTCTTGCGCATAGAGTACTGCCCTTTGCTGTCATGTCAGGGTCTTCTTGAACAGATCCTGCCTTTCTTCACCTTCGCACCCACTGCACCGCCCTCCACTTACTAAGGTCGCCTTCTAGCTCCCATTTCCCTGGGTGGTGGACTCCAGCCCTTCAGCAGCTTCTTTTCTCTCTCAGCCAGGCCACACACCATCCCCTCCCACGCAGTTCCCTCTGGTGAGGAGAGTTGGTAAGAAGGCAGGCTGTGCAGTGGCCTTGAAGTTTCCCTCTGGCTTCTTAGACCAGGGACGACCTAAGGGACAGCCAGTCTTTATCAGTGCCTTCCTGATTGGTGCCACACAGGGTAGGTCCGACATAATCATGGGAATGAAACTTGCCCTCACGCCTTGGTATCTAAGAGTCAGAAGCTTTTGTCTGCTGGCCCTGCAGGGCCCATCTAGCTGTCCTTTCAGAGCTGGCTGTGTGACAAAATGAGCTACTTTCCCAACGGTCTCCCTCTTCAAGTCCCGCTCACAGTTGGCCATAATTGGAGGCTCTCTCCCAATGAAGCTCATTCTGAGGGTAACTTTGTGTCAGCTCTTTTTCTGTGCACACACATTAATCTCTGTGTTGGTCTGTGGCTTTATCTTCAGGTAGCCCACCATTTTGCCTTCAGATATAGACATACACTGAAACTGTTCATGGAATCCTGATGAATGATGCACATCTTACTCATATATACCACTGGGTATTTCATGCAGATGAAGTGTAACTTCTATTGATGTATGTCAGTTACATGTTCCCAACCTCACCTATAGAGACACTGAGTCAACAGGGAAGTGTTCAGGGCTCCGATATCCCAATGGGAACTATATTGAATAACAATACCTGCTTGCAGTACAATGAGACAACTGATATTTTGTCTTGTATTCTCCAACTTTATTACATGACTACATTTAAATATTTCCTTATAGCTTAAAATATTCCAGACAACTACAAAAACACTTTCCACATGTGTTACAGTTGAGTTCTCTTTGAGAGTGGTAGGTACCAGAACAGGTAGCCATTTTAATAGTCACATTTGAAGGATGGTCTAAATACCTACTGTATAGCACCTGTTAATAAGTTTCACAAATAATTCTAAATTCAAAGCAAACAAAAAAGTCTACAAATACAAACATGAGGATTTTTTTATATCCTAAGATTCTAACACCCTAACCTTAAATGTCACTTGATAGGCTCCAAAGCTATGGATATTCATAAAGAATAAATTTATAACAAATGTCAATTTTGTATACCTATTTCACTAAACATTTTTAAAAGTTTGACAGGAAATTATAAAGACTGCTAGTAATTTTTTAATTAACTTTTGGAAATACTTGAATAACACCCTAAAATTCAGATATTAAAGCATCTATCTTTTTAAAATTGTTAGTTATGTTCTCAATACATTCTTCAGCTTTTAGTTCTGTCCCATCAATCATAAAACAGTCCTCTTCACAGTAGCTCTGAAATGGACTGCCTGGGGGAGCTTCCGGGCTGCACCGATACAACTGCAAAAAAGCCAATACGGTTCATCACAACTACAGAACCTGCCATGTAGTTCCTCACAACTGCAGAACTCCCCACACAGTTCCTCACAACTGCAGAACTCCCCACAGAGTTCCTCACAACTGCAGAACTCCCCACACAGTTCCTCACAACTGCAGAACTCCCCACACAGTTCCTCACAACTGCAGAACTCCCCACACAGTTCCTCACAACTGCAGAACTCCCCACACAGTTCCTCACAACTGCAGAACTCCCCACACAGTTCCTCACAACTGCAGAACTCCCCACACAGTTCCTCACAACTGCAGAACTCCCCACAGAGTTCCTCACAACTGCAGAACTCCCCACACAGTTCCTCACAACTGCAGAACTCCCCACACAGTTCCTCACAACTGCAGAACTCCCCACACAGTTCCTCACAACTGCAGAACTCCCCACACAATTACTCACAACTGCAGAACTCCCCACAGAGTTCCTCACAACTGCAGAACTCCCCACACAGTTCCTCACAACTGCAGAACTCCCCACAGAGTTCCTCACAACTGCAGAACTCCCCACACAGTTCCTCACAACTGCAGAACTCCCCACAGAGTTCCTCACAACTGCAGAACTCCCCACACAATTACTCACAACTGCAGAACTCCCCACACAGTTCCTCACAACTGCAGAACTCCCCACACAGTTACTCACAACTGCAGAACTCCCCACACAGTTACAACTGCAGAACTCCCCACACAATTACTCACAACTGCAGAACTCCCCACAGAGTTCCTCACAACTGCAGAACTCCCCACACAGTTACTCACAACTGCAGAACTCCCCACACAGTTCCTCACAACTGCAGAACTCCCCACACAGTTCCTCACAACTGCAGAACTCCCCACAGAGTTCCTCACAACTGCAGAACTCCCCACACAATTACTCACAACTGCAGAACTCCCCACACAGTTACTCACAACTGCAGAACTCCCCACAGAGTTCCTCACAACTGCAGAACTCCCCACACAGTTCCTCACAACTGCAGAACTCCCCACACAGTTCCTCACAACTGCAGAACTCCCCACAGAGTTCCTCACAACTGCAGAACTCCCCACAGAGTTCCTCACAACTGCAGAACTCCCCACACAGTTCCTCACAACTGCAGAACTCCCCACACAATTACTCACAACTGCAGAACTCCCCACACAGTTCCTCACAACTGCAGAACTCCCCACAGAGTTCCTCACAACTGCAGAACTCCCCACACAGTTCCTCACAACTGCAGAACTCCCCACAGAGTTCCTCACAACTGCAGAACTCCCCACACAATTACTCACAACTGCAGAACTCCCCACACAGTTCCTCACAACTGCAGAACTCCCCACAGAGTTCCTCACAACTGCAGAACTCCCCACACAATTACTCACAACTGCAGAACTCCCCACACAGTTACTCACAACTGCAGAACTCCCCACAGAGTTCCTCACAACTGCAGAACTCCCCACACAGTTCCTCACAACTGCAGAACTCCCCACACAGTTCCTCACAACTGCAGAACTCCCCACAGAGTTCCTCACAACTGCAGAACTCCCCACAGAGTTCCTCACAACTGCAGAACTCCCCACACAGTTCCTCACAACTGCAGAACTCCCCACACAATTACTCACAACTGCAGAACTCCGCACACAATTACTCACAACTGCAGAACTCCCCACACAGTTCCTCACAACTGCAGAACTCCCCACACAATTACTCACAACTGCAGAACTCCGCACACAATTACTCACAACTGCAGAACTCCCCACACAGTTCCTCACAACTGCAGAACTCCCCACACAGTTCCTCACAACTGCAGAACTCCCCACAAAGTTCATCACAACTACAGAACTCCCCACAGAGTTCCTCACAACTGCAGAACTCACCACAGAGTTCCTCACAACTGCAGAACTCACCACAGAGTTCCTCACAACCACAGAAGACCCAGTTGGTTACTGAGGAGCTTAGTTCTCCAATAGAGTGGTGCACATGGTTTTCTTCGCAGGTGATAAGTTTTGTATGTAGTATGATGTCTATTAAACATACATGTGTAAGGCTAAGTTGTTGTTTAGGTTCTATCCCTTTTCTCCAATGTCACTTACTTATATTTGTATCTTTATGCCTTGGGACAGTGTGATCACATTAGATTGTCTATATTGATTTGTTTTTGTAAAAATATATATAATACATATGATCACATATTCTGTGATGAGTGTTTCATAAGTATCTACATTATCCACCAAAAAGTCCTTGCTGTAGTTGAGATGGGAAGGAAGGGCAATACTAATCACCGTACCCACACACATACTATCATGAGTTTCAGTTTCAAGGTTCACTACAGCTAGACCAGCTTCTCATGCAATGGAAAGACAAGAATACACATGCAGTTCACAATATGCACCTTATAATCCAAATAATTATATAGTAAACCTCAATATTTGTGCATGAATTAGCCATTTAAAATGAGGTAGATTTATAAGACTCTGATTAATTTCTCCATTGTCAAGTTAGACATGGTCTGTAAATGGTGCTAATATTAGCTAAAGAAGAACATGCTTGGGAAGGGACTCAGATGAGGAAGCCATGTGCCAGAGCTCATAGGAGAGAGTCTTTGATTGTCTGTGGGTGTATTCTCTTTCCATCCTCACCACTGGCACATGTGCTTAGGAAATCATTATAAATCTGACAGGCAGCAAAGAAGAACGTAGCAAATTTCCACACCTGAAAAGTGTTCACACAGTATCTGCCCAGAGTCAACTTAGTCCGCACTTCTGAATTATTTGCTGACTCTTTTACTCTTTTTGGTGTGCTTGGCTTATCAGAGGGCTCCTACTTACATACAAAGATATATACACATGAATCCATACATACATATCCCACCTCCAGTTTTAAGTAGAAGTCATATTAACTCTTTGCAGGAACAATGAAAAAAAGAAAAAATATTAAGAAAGAAAGAACTTCCCAGTGGTGAGTGCGACGCTTTCTTTACTTTTAAGGAGGAAATTGTTATGGCTTCAATGGTTGCTTTCATGGCTGCTCACCTCATTAACAGTCAACAGGCCCTAAGCATCCTGGGCCTGTCAGGAGCTATTGGGAGCAGCAGCCTGTAGGAGGTGCTGACAGGGCAGTGAGTAAATAAGTTAACTTCAACAGTTCCTAAACGCCCTTTGAAAGCACAGAACATTACACAAGTCTGAAACCAAAAGAAGGCCTTCCGGGGGCTGTATTAAAACTATGTATCTTATCATAAGAAAAAAAATTTAAAAAATTACTAATTCTCATGACAAACCAGAAGCAAATTCTGTGGCTGTAAAGGCTCTAGGATGCCAATCAGCCAGGTTATATTTTTGAAAAGACAAACTACTAGGACTGAGAAAGAAAAGGAAAGAAAGAGAGTGTGTGTGTGAGAGAGAGAGACCAACCAACCACAAAATGCAATGCATAACACCATGCAGTGTTCAACTATACACATAATTGCTACAAAGGAATAATCTGTGTATTAATTACGCATAAGTAAGAGCCATTTCACCAGTCCACACACCTTGTTCTACAAGGGCAGCTCCTGCATGGGAAGAAGTCATCTATGAACGGCTGCACTGGAGAAATGGCTTTTCTAAACTGACTCATAACCCTGCATGTCCAGGTGGAACTGTGAGCCGCTGGAGCTGACCGAGAAAGCTTCCTGTGTTTTCCAACTCATCAGGGGTTGATGCTCATTTCCTTTAACACATTCATCTCTAGGATGATAAATTCTGTATGCTTTCCTTAATTTTTAACTCAGTAATAAAGATGTTAAAGATTTCATCTTTAGCTGGGCGTGGTGTTGAACACCTACAACTCTAGGGAGGGAGTTAGTGCTGAGGCAGGTAGATTAATGTTTGAGGCCAGCCGCTATTACACAGACAACTTACACTACCAGTCAGTAGTAACAGATGGAAAAATGCCTGAGATGCATGTCTTCATACTTTCTAAGGATCTAAATGAAGCTGGCAGGCTGACAAAATGTATCAACTACCTGCCCAGTTCTAAATGCAGCTCTTAGAGAGATGAGATGTGCTATTACTAGAGGGGACGTAGAGGCCCTAAGTGAGAAACAAGAGAGCCTGTTTTCTTTGAACCGCCACTGCCCACTGTCACCTCTGACACATGTCCCAGCTTGTCTTATCTAATTCTTAAACAGTTCTCAGAACAGGAGATGAATAACTGCCACGTGGCACAAGTCCTCAGCAGCAGAACCAGCATTTCCATTAAGCCTATGTTATTAATAAATAACAGTAAAGCAATGGGAATTTAAATGATGACATTGGGGATTCAGTTGGTATGCTCTCTGACTCTGGGCACAGTGTGTATCTGAACGAATGAATGAATGAAACCTTTTGTAATATCTAGCTGCCATTTATGCTCTAAGTACCCAGGGAACAGCTGTTATCACAGGGTGAAGTGTCTGCCCTGAGACTGTTTTTTATCACATTGAGTGACCCCGTGCTGCCCTTTATGAATGGCCTGAGCTTTCTATCCAGACTTTTACACTTATGCAGATGTTGGATAGTGAGGCCATAAGGCTTTCTGAATCTAAGAGTTAGAAACAGGAGCTTCAGCCCTGCTCCATCAACTCTCAAGTTTCCAAGACACGCACTTGTCTCTCAGTACATGCGCCAGACAGGAAGGGGTCCCACCAAACTGCCCCCCTTTCCAGGGACTTGATCCTATTGTGATGCCTGGAAAGATCCCAGGCATGGGAAAATTCAGTTGCTGTTAATCTTAAACTGCCAACTGTATTAAGAAATCTCCATAGAATTAATGATATTTAGTCAGTGTGGGCATGTATGTCTAGGGGCAGTCAGATCATGAGAGCTCTGAGCTACATAACAAGTGAGTTCTATTACAGACTCAACACAGCAGACCTAATCGGGTCAGAAGCCGAAGGTGCTATTGGGAGGTAGTGGCAGACAGGAGAAGGGCCCTGCTGCAGGAAGTAGGGCACTGGGAGCATGTCCACAGGGCTCTATCCTGCCCTGGCCCCTTCCTGTTCTCTTTCCTGTTTCTGTATCACCAGGATATAAAGGGCCCTGCACCACCATGACCTCCCTGCCATGAGGACCTGGCCTGTTTTAGTCATTTCTGTCAGGCATTTGGTCACCATTGCCAATACAAGGTGGTCCGTCTCTGCCTCAGAAAGCCTCCCCATCCTCCATCCCAACCTGAAGACCTAAAATTAAAGGCCCTGTCTGCTTCTCCCAGGAAAGCATGCATTCTGGTGGTTTGGCAGCTACCAGTTTGTTAGGACCAGGACAATCAATGGCTCAAATTTCAGATGTGGGAAAAGGTACCTTATACAATCAAGCACGAAGTCAGGTGCAGACCCTGAATCTGCCAACCTGTGCTCTTCATACCAACCTGTGCGCGGCCTGCTCCACCGGCCCAGGCTATGGGCTCTTGAGCTTGCTCCAGCATTTGCTCCAGCTCCTTCAGTAACCTTTCCGTCTCAGAGACAACTAAAGAAAACCAGGAATACAGTGGAAGCTACATCTTCAATCAATCCCATCTGACTCAGTCTTAACCACCCAGATAGGACTCTTCTAAATCCTACAGAATTAAAAATAAAAAACCTTCATTTTTTTTTTAATTAACTTGTTAACTTAAAAAAATAAAAGATTTCTTTATGGCTTTTTTCTTACATACTTACATACTTTTTTGTTATATTGTTTTTATATATGACCTCTGCTTGGTACAAAATTCTATTATGAATTTCCAGGTGAAATTTTTTATAGTTATTTGAAAGGAATAGGTAATTTTCTTGATTTGTATAGAGTATAAAATATCTTCGAAATAGAAGGAGCTCATTAGAAGTTGTTGCATGTTTTTCTTAATTGGGTCCCAGGGCACCAGACTCAATTATGTTTGTAAAGCAGACATCACAACCAAAGAACTATGAACAGTTGATATGGAGGTCAGCTTCTTTAAAGGATACGACCCCATAGGTCCACCTTGCTCTTGGAAATGGCCCCATACCCAACAGCACTTGGACTGGACTACTCAATTATTTAAAAAAAGAAAAAGAAAAAAATGACACAGAATTAGGAGAGCGGGGACAGGGAATGAGAAAGTGACGATGATTAAAATGCCCATCATCTTCTCTTAAGTAGATTGGTACTGCCAGGAACAGACATGTCTCTTTGTCATAAAAAAAAAAGGAACCTATATTATTAAAACATCTTAAATACCATATTCTGTAGATCTCTGAAGTGTTTGAAAGTGACCTGTTTTTATAAAAATCTATCTCTGTTTGATATTGAAAACATGCTTAATATTACTACAATTCACTTATAATGGGTGACTAATTGCTAATGTACATTTGCTTATTTATCTTATATAGTAGATTTTTTATTTTTTAATTTATTTTTATTTGTTTTTATTTTAATTATTTATTTTTATTTTACATGTAGATCCCAGTTCCCTCTCCCTCCCTCCCTCTTACCCTCTCTGCCCACTCACATGTACCCAGACCAACCTCCCCTCCCATGCCCACATATGTAGGGCAATGTCATCCAGGTGGGGTCATGTAAATCTCATCTGAAGTAGGGACGAGGACTTCTCTTCTGTCTCTAGGTTAAGGTAGTATTCCTCCATGGGGGATGTGTCCGCAAGGTCCTTTTGTGCATACTGGTTCCACTGTCTGAGGTCCCATAGACTGCGCAGTCCTTCTAACTGAGACCCATATTCAGGGGGGCCTGAGTCAGCCCCATGCTGGATTCCCAGCTATCAGTCTGGGGGGCCCGTTAGCTCCTCTTTGTTCAGGTCAACTGTCTCTATGTTTTTCTGAACCTGGTCCTGTCCTCTCCCTCTGCATCTGGATTCCAGTTCGACTCGGTGTTTAGTTATGGGTGTTTGCTTCTGTTTCCAACAGCTACCAGATGAGGGCTCCATGATGGTGGATAAGTTTAGTTGTTGATCTCACTATCAGGGAAGGGCATTTATGGTAGCCTTTCCACGGTTGCTCAAACTTTTAGTTGGAGTCAGTCTTGTAGGTCTCTAGACCTTTCTTTGGGTTCAGTTTTCTCTTTCAACCAATAATGGCTCCCTGTTTTATGTTCTCTCTTCTCTCTCTCTTCCTCTCTCTCTTTCTCTCTCTCTCTCGTCTTCTATTCCTACCCTGACTAAATCTTCCTAGTCACATGTGCTTTCCTCTCCTCCCCTTCTCTTTCTCCTACTTCTCTCTCCATTCACTGCCCCCCCCCATTTCCCATGTGATCTGGGGGACTTGTCCCTTCCCCCTTCTGTGAAGGACTTTATATGAATCTCTTAGAAAACACCTTGTATCCTAGTTCCTCTGGCGGTGTGAATTACAGACTGGCGATCCTTTGCTCTTTGTCTAAAATCCATATGTGAGCGAGTACACACCATGTTCCTCTTTTGTGACTGGGTTACCTCATTCAGGATGGTTTCTTCAAGTGCCATCCACTTGCCTGCAAATTTCAAGATTCCATTATTTTTTTTTCTGCAGAACAGTAGTCCATTGTGTAGATGTGTCACATGTTCTTTATCCATTATTCAGTTGAGGAGAATCTAGATTGCTTCCAGATTCTTGCTATTACAAATAATGCTGCTATGAACATAGGTGAGTGCATGTCTTTGTTGCATGAGTGTGGATCACTTGGGTATATTCCTAAGAGGGGGACTGCCGGGTCCTGTGGTAAACTAATTCCCATTTTTCTGAGGAACCACCATACTGATCTCCAAAATGGCTGTAAAAGTTTGCACTCCCACCAGCAGTGGAGGAGTGTTCCCCTCTCTCCACATCCTCTCCAGCATGAGTTGACATTGGTGTTTCTAATTTTAGCCATTCTGGCAGGATTAAGATGGTATCTCAAAGTTGTTTTGATTTGCATTCCCCTGATAGCTAAGGGTATTGAGCACTTTCTTAAGTGTCTTTCAGCCTTTTTGATTTCCTCTTTTGAGAATTCTTTCTTCAGTTCTGTACCACAATAGGGTCATTTGGTGTTTTGTTGACTAGTTTCTTGAGTTCTTTGTATATTTTGGAGATCAGCCCTTTGTCAGATGTAGGATTGGTGCAAATTTTTTCCCAATCTGTGGGCTGCCATTTGTTCTTGCCCACTGTGTCCTTTGCCTGCCTCAGTTTGAGGAGGTCCCATTTATTAATTGTTGATCTCAGTGTCTGCGCTCCTGGAGTTATGTTCAGGAAACAGTCTCCTATACCAATTTGTTCAAGGGTACCGCCTACTTTCTCTTCTAAGAGGTTCAGTGTGGCTGGGCTGATGTTGAGGTCTTTGATCCATTTGGGCTTGAGTTTTATGCATGGCGACAGAGAAGGATCTATCTGCAGTCTTCTACACATCATCATCCAATTGTGCCAGCACCATTTGTTGAAGATGCTTTCCTCCCCACATTGTATTCTTTTAGCTATTTTGTCGAAAATCAGGTGTTCATAGGTGTGTGGGTTAGTATCAGGATTTTCAGTTCAATTCCATAGGTCTACCTGTCTATTTTTGTACCAATACCAGGCTGTTTTCAGAACTATAGCTCTGTAGTAGAGCTTAAAGTCAGGAATGGTTCTTTTATTGTACACGGTTGTTTTGGCTATCCTGGGTCTTTTGTTTTTCCATATAAAGTTGATTATTATCCTTTCAAGGTCAGTGAAGAATTGTGCTGGGATTTTAATGGGGATTGCATTGACTCTGCAGATTGCTTTTGGCAAGATTGCCATTTTTACTATATTTATCCTACCTATCCAAGAACATGGGAGCTCTTTCCATTTTCTGATATCTTCTTTAATTTATTTCTTTAGAGCCACAAAGTTCTTATTACATAGGTCTTTCACTTGTTTGGTAAGCGTTACCCCAAGATACTTTATGTTCTGTGTGGGTATTGTAAAGGGTCATGTTTCTCTGATTTCTTTCTCAACCTCTTTGTCGTCTGAATATAGTAGGGTTACTAATTTTTTTGAGTTTATTTTGTATCCTGCTAGTTTGCTGAAGGTGTTTATCAGCTGTAGGAGTTCCCTGGTAGAGTTTATTGGGTCGCTTATGTAAACTATCATATCATCTGCAAATAGAGACAGTTTAACTTCTTCCTTTTCAATTTGGATTCCCTTGATCTCCTTTTGTTGTCTTATAGCTTTAGCTAGAACTTCAAGAACAATATTGTAGAGATATGGAGAGAGAGGGCAGCCTTGTCTTGTTCCTGACTTTCGAGGAATCGCCTTAAGCTTCTCTCTAATCAGTTTGATGTTGGCTGTTGGTTTACTGTATATTGCTCTTATTAGGTATGTTCCTGTTTTCCCTGATCTCTCCAAGACCTTTATCATTAAAGGGTTTTGAATTTTGCCGAAGGCTTTTTCAGCATTTAGGGAGATGATCATATGGTTTTTCTTTTTCAGTTTGTTTATATGGTGGATCACATTGATAGATTTTTGTATGTTAAACCATCCCTGCAATCCAGGGATGAAGCCTACTTGGTCATGGTGGATGATTTCTCTGATGTATTCTTGAATTCGGTTTGCCAGTGTTTTATTGAGTATTTTTGCATCGATGTTCATCAGGGATATTAGTCTGTAGTATTCTTTCTTAGTTGTGTCTTTGTGAGGTTTGGGTACCAAGGTTATTGTGGCCTCGTAGAAAGAGTTTGGCAATGAACCTTCTGTTTCTATCTTGTGGAACAGTTTAAGGAGTAGTGGTATTAGTTCTTCCTTGAATTTTTGGTAGAATTCTGCACTGAAGCCATCTGGCCCTGGGCATTTTTTGGTTGGAAGGCTTTTGATGACTGTTTCTATTTCATAGCAGGTTATAGGTCTATTTAAGTTGTTTGTCTGTTTTTTATTTAATTTTGGTAAGTGGTAGTTATCCAGAAATTTGTTCATTTCCTTTGACTTTTCAATTTTTGTGGAATACAGGTTTTCAAAATATGACCTGAAAATTGTCTGGATTTCCTCTGTGTCCATTGTTATGTTCCCCTTTTCATTTCTGATTTTGTTAATTTGCATGTTCTCTCTCTGCTTTTTCGTTAGTTTGGATAAAGGTTTGTCTATCTTGTTGATTTCCTCAAAAAACCAACTCTTTGTTGCATTGATATTTTGTATGGTTTATATGGTTTCTATTTTGTTGATTTCAGCCTTCAAATTGATTATTTCCTGGTGTCTACTCCTACGGGGTGAGTTCGCTTCTCTCTGTCCTAAGGCTTTCAGTTGTGCTGTTAATTCTCTGATGTGACTATCCTCTGTTTTCTTCATATGGGCACTTAGTGCAATGAACTTCCCTCGTAACACTTCTTTCAAGGTGTCCCATAAGTTCGGGTAGGTTGTGTCCTCATTCTCATTGAATTTTAGAAAGACCTTAATTTCTTTCTTTATTTTTTCTTTGGCACAGGTGTGGTGCCATTGCATATTGTTCAGTTTCCATGAGTTTGCAGGTTTTCTGCGATTTGTGTTGTTGTTGAATTCCATTTTTAAAGCATGGTGGTCTGATAAGATACAGGGGAC